TTAATAGAATGTTTGTCAAGTAGACTATTTTAAAATAAAATTGATAATTTATAAATTATTTAAAAAAATTATTTTTAAATTAAATTAAAATAAATCATATAATTAATAAACTATTTAATGAATTTAACGAAAAAAACCACTTCAAGTCTTCTTGTGTTGGAAAAAAACTAGGCATCCTGTTTGACACGTGTTTATTATCTAGAGTCCAAACCGCCGAATATTAGAGAACCTGTCAAAGACACAGAGCCTGGAATGGAGCAATGATTTGCAAACGTCTAGAACAAAATTGGTCAAGGTCTGTGGTGGCGTGTTATCATGACTAGTGGAGAGATGTGTTCAAGTTTGATGCATGATTCAACAACTTAATCAGTGTTTACTATCTAGAGTTCAAACTACCAAATATTAGATAACATGTCAAAGACGCATAGCCTCGAATGGAGCAATGATTTGCGGATATCTAGAACACAATTAGTCAAGGTCTGTGGTGGCGTGTTATCATGACTGGTGGAGAGGTGTGTTCAAGGTTGATGCATGATTCGGCAACTTAATCAGTGTTTATTATCTAGAGTCCAAACTACCAAATATTAGAGAACGTGTCAAAGACGCACAGCCTGGAATGGAGCAATGATCTGCGGATGTCTAGAGCAAAATTAGTCAAGGTCTGTGGTGGCGTGTTATCATGACTAGTGGAGAGGTGTGTTCAAGTTTGATGCATGATTCAACAACTTAATCAGTGGATTTAGATCCAAATCTATATTTCGTGAAGGGCAGGATGGAGTGGGAAAAAACTATACACCCAATGAAATCTTATTTTAAGTCTTCTTGTTTTGGAAAAAAACTGTCATTTATCATGTCTGCCCTTCGATTTATAATATAGAATGACAACTACACCCAAAAAAATCTAAAGTCAATTAGTTAAACATTTGAAGACCGAGGCACTACAACTAATGGCAGAGTCATGGAATATTTTTAGGGGGACAAAATAAAATTTGACTAAAAAAGAGACTTTGCATGTCAATTTAAAGAATAAAAAATATTTTAAATAATATTTATTGATTTTTAACAATAAATTAATAATAGTTGATAATATAATATAAAAACTGTTAGTTGAAATATAAAAATAAATATATATTAAGTAGAATAATATATATTATGAACAAATAAAAAAGAAGTAAACATATTAATGAATAAATATTTTATAAAAAATGATAATAAACAATTTTTATTCAATTAATTTTTACTTTTTCCCATATTTTATATTATCTTTATTTTCTTCATCTTCCTCTTTATCATCAAAAGTAATCTTCAACAACATAAATATTAAAAATTGATTAAAATGGTATAAAATAGGAAAAGATAAAAATGACAAAAATAAAATGTAAGATACCAAATTAAATTTTTTTCAAAAGTCTAGGAGGGGCTTGTGGTCCCTCAGGCCCCCTTGGCTCTGCCAGTCACTGCAACTTTAAAGTTATAATATTAACTCTTACATGGTTGACTAACACCCAAATTTAATTTAACTAAATTTAATGAAGTTATATTGTAATAAAAGATAAGACGCTGATTTTGAGTGAAGTTGAAAAGTGATGTTATTGTCAAAATTTTAATTATTAATATTATATTTTTTATTTTAATTTATTATTATATTTTTTAATTTATTAAAAAATAAAAAAAATATAAATTTTTAAAAAAAATATAATATAAAGATATAATAAATAATCAAATTTAAAAAATATAATATTAATTATTTAAAATGTGAAAATAAACTCACCCAATATTCAGAGCACGAATTTACCTTGCAATATATTGGATTGGATGTTGAATCCAACACAATGCTCTTCTTTCAATAAGGTTTGATTACATACGAGGCATAGGTAACTTTTTTTTTTTTTTTTTTTTATAAAGGTAATGATTAGAAAGTTAGTTTGAATTAGTTGTTAGTAATTGAGGATTCGATCTTTAGATCGAATCCTTAGACCGGTTGAATATTCCACCCTTCAAATGAGGCGAGCGGCTATCGAGCCGCTTTGGTGGAGTTTAAGACGGTGGTAAAACTTGAAACTTCAACCACCTTATCCAAACAGTTAAACCTTTAGGTCGAACCATTAGACCTAAAGACTCGGTTTGAGGTATAAGTAACTTCAGATAAAAGAAAGGATTGATTTTTTTTTTTTTAACATGAAAAAATATAATGTTAAATTAATATTTTGTCCGAGGAAAATCGAATTTGAAACTCAATTTACAAATTAAAGTACGTTTCATCTATTTTTTATATTCGGAGAAATGTTACGGTTACTACAATCACGTGAGAAAATACAAAAAAAAAAGATTGAGTTCTAATGGAAATGCAATTCAAACATAACTTGATAGATTAAATAATCAGTTGTTGCGATTGTGGGGCAGTTGCCCCACATCGACTCCGTGTGTGTGAGTTATAAGGTATATATAGAAATTTAAACAATTCTAAATTAACCGATTTTAGAATTGTGTTGTGTTTCGTCATTGTAGCCATGTAAGTGTTTTAAAAAAGATAAATCCCCTTGAGTGGGAGCCCACCCCCGATTGTGGGGCAGTTGTCTCACATCGACCCTATATGCGTGAGTTGTAAGGTATATATGGAATTTTAAACAATTTCAAACTAACCGATTTTAGAATTGTGTTATTTTTCGTCACTGTAATCATGTAACTGTTTCAAAAAAAAATAATCAGTTGTTGAACTCGTACGTCGTAGAGTGTAAGCCAGCGTCTAGACGTCTAGTTGTCAATTATGTAAGAGGATTGAAATACACTTTGTATTTTAAAATTTTAATATATTATTTTTTTGTCCGTTTTAAAAAAAAGTACCTTAATAAAAGAATATCAATGAAAATTATTATTTTTTTATTTTAAAGTAATTATTTTTTTCAATTAAGAATTTAGAAATA